TCCCAGAATTCTGGCTCCAGTTCCCAGAATTCTGCAGAATTCTGGCTCCAGTTCCCAGAATTCTGCAGAATTGGGTTAATTCCCAAGGGGTCACCGATGGCTGCTACGTATTTCTTACATCATTTTTACCTATATCTTAGAATATTAGCCCATCTAGACGTAAGGTTGGGAATTAGTCCGGAATTAAACTGGAATTCCGGAATTAAACTGGACACTGTTAATTTTGCACCTAGAGCAGGAGGGGGAGGGGGGTGCATTGCAGGCAAAGAAGCAAAAAATAACAATACATTATTTTTATAAGCAGTATATTTTACTTTATTTTTAGACTTCACAAGCCAGTTGTGGCTATGTCATCTTCGAATTTGCAACACTCTCTCAATCATCACAAGACTTTTACACCTAGTACATGTACATGTATTATATTGTTTCACTCATTGTATTGTTATTACTAATATTCATCTGTTGAGAATTTGTTTTGTACTATGATAAGAATCTAGTTAGCTATAGAAGAAGCAGGGCTTAATACAAGCTTTAAGAGCAAGATTACAATTCTCCTGAACAATTCCTGTATTGACTGTTTGCAAATGTATAAAAAACACACGCAGTCCATCAAATGTTGAAAATATCTCAAATAAAAATGGAGAAATTTAATGTTCTTACGTATGTTGTAGTGCAAAGGTTTGTTTCTGAGTCGAATGACAGGAAGGTCAGGGTGTTAGGGAGGCCTTTCCGCACCAGGATACGCTGCAGCAGCAGGTTAGATCCTGAAACAAGAGGACAACAACAAACTTAAGATAAAGATAAAGATGATTCCCACAACTTATAGACAATACAAACTCTACCACTGGATGAATTACAAACTTAAGATAATAAGATGAACAGCTGCCTGTGTCTCAAATGCATTGTATTGTTGCAATTTCAATAAATGAAATCAAATCAAATCAAACAAAGATTATTCTAGAAGTGTTGGGTGACATCCACAACTCTTCTTCAGTGTCACTAAAATGAACTAGTCAACACTTAACATATATGAGCAACTGGAAAAAACAGTTGAACGTGACAAAGACTTGTATTTGATATGTACACATCTTGACTAGTTCATTAGTGATGTTAATGTGAAGAACTATCATTAAGTAATCTCCATAATGTATCCAGTAGTAGAGTTTGAGTATTGTTTACCGGGATGTCTAACCTTTGCTAAGGCCACACCAATTTAATTTCTTGGTTAACGGATTTTTCTAGAGAAAGAATTTAGCGGGCGGGCGAAAAAAATAAAAAATAAAAACAGGTTTAGGCATCCTATTATGGCCAAAATGGTCCGATAGGAGCCATGAAGTCAACACACCAGGCTGGTTCAAAATTTAAACAATGAATTTAGAACTTTTAATGATGCCACTGCATTGAAATGTGGAATGACTGTAACAAGTAGTAAGAAAAGGATTGTTTTCAACTGTTCAGGGCAAAATATGAGCATTTTGCAGTTGATTCTGAATTTTTATTTTTATTTGCAAATTAGAAAGAAATGAAGCGGCGAATCCGTTAACCAAGAAATTAAATTGGTGTGGCCTAATGTTACCACAACAGTTATAATATAATGTATATAATATATAATATATATA